TCAGCAGCCGAAGCCTTAGGTGGGGTTTTAGTGGGTAATCCCAGCAAACGGGAGAGCCCCACACTACTCTGGAATTTCCTTGCAGAGTGTGCATAAGGTGCATTTCCCCACCTATACAAAAAAAAAAAAAAAAAAAAAAAAAAAAAAAGTTATAGACTAGAAAGTAGGGAATGCAATACCGGGATTGCAGCATTTTTGCGAGATTAATCCCGCACATAAATACCGGGATCCCGCGGGATTAACATCTAACAATCCCGCAAATACCGGGATTGAGATTTTGCTGCGGGATTGCATTCCCTAGTAGTTGCGTTTTTTATTTGAGCCTCGCTTTTGGGTGACAAAATGCAACGGTAGTTGATTTTCTAATCGGAATTGGATAGTGTTTTTTCTGTGGTGGGTTACCACGGCTAATAACAACAACAAAACGGATTTTCCTTGGAATTTTCTTAAATAGCATGCTGAAATAAATCACACGTTAATAAATAGGGATCAGGCTGATGAAACTCAAATAGAAATGAATAAAAATTAGGGCACTACATTTAAAATGAATGAATATATGAATATGCTTATATGTTAAAATGTTCAATGATTTTTTTTGCATTCATTCTCCAACTCATCGTTAGACACGATGTGTAGTATGCAGTGGGATCTCATACATTTCCAAAGGTTGTTTCTTTATTAGAATAAAATAAATGTTTGCTGGGATATTTGTACAAGTTTCTATAAAATGAATTCGTCGTTTTCCAAATAACTGTCTTGCCGGTCGGCCTAAGAATAGTAGTTTCTGGTATAATGTAGCGTAATAGACATTCTAATTAATTTCATAGATATTTATATAGAAGCGTATCTTCTTGGTTCACTGTAGGTATAACGGCCTCTGTAGTAGCTAATTAGGATAAATGCATAAGTAATCCTCATCTAAAGCACATTAATAATGATGAAGGTACAACGAGTAAAGATAGGGAATATGGAAATTTCGGTTCGGTGACGTAGTGCGGTAAAGTGATATTGGTTTTTCATTCAAATTAGTTTTATTAAAAATACTGTAATGGCAATTTGAACACGATCTTTCATAAAAAGCATCTCCACTTTGAGTTCCCAATTAGTAAAATGTTAAAAGATTATACGGGTTTGAATTCGGCGTTGAATTTCTGACAGCCCGTTCACTAATGGATTAAAAAGGTTAATATTCAATTAAATCAACTATGCCGAAGCTGCTTTATTATTTATCGTCATTACCTGTATATGAGCGTTTCGGTTAGCTTTATCATAATTCATTGTTTCTGAGACCTATTCAAAGGATTCACTTAGTTTTATTTGTTGAAAATGGATAAAGCTATTTATATTGCCTGACTGAACAAACGATTAGTAACAAAGTCGCAATAGCGTTATTGGCTACTTCTTCGTGGTCTTTAAAGTTCTTAAGATCTTTTAAGAGTTATGTTTCTTCAGAAGTTACTCTTAAACTTCTCATGATTTGGGAGTTTCTGCCCGTCCGTCCGTCTGTATACATGATAATATCGTTGTTCGGTATCGTATATTTTCATTATTTTACAAGAAAATTAAATGATTGCAAACACATAACGAACTAATTAAAAACGTGTAATTGTTGAATAAATGTTACTATATGCGCGGATTCGTTGAAATCTTTAGGAATGGCCAAGAGCACACTTCTGAGGAGATGAATAAATATTGACGAGGCTGGTGATCGTTGACGTCGTTATGAGTTCGTATCGTCGTCGAAATTTGCCTCACTATGGGAAGCTCGGCGACAGCTTGGCTATGTTGTTGTAATGCCTCACTATGGGACATCTCTGCTTGATCCTACTGTTTAGATAGAACAACTCGCAACCGAATGAATTCTAGCGAAGCGCGCTGCCTTATAAAGCCCTGTTTGACCGCTCCCGGAAAGTTTACCGAAAACAGTTTACCGAAAAACAATTCACCGAAATGGCAATATACCGAAAGAACAATACGTCGAATTTCAATTGACCGAAAAGCAGTTTTACCGAATCGCACTTTACCGAATATTAACATAACCATCAAGGTGGAAATGTGCTCGCCCAAAAAGATGTTTTTTTTTTGTAAAATTCGCCATCCTCAACCGAACGATCTTACGCCCAATTTGCAAACTGTTGACAGTTCAGGTGGCCCTAGCCAGTTCATAATTTTGCAATGTCTGTTCATCCGCCTGCCTGTCCGATAGCACGATATCTCGAAAACGACCGGTCCGATTACAATACAATTTTGCAGGTGGATTCTTTATCAAATTTGTAGATCGGAGTTCGTGAATTGGCAATGTAGGTCAAAAAAATGAAGGCCACGATCTTA